TTGTGTGTATGGTGTCTGAGATTTGAACGGTTGACACCTTATTGCTGTGGGTCTAAACAGTAGCTAACGCTCTCTAGCTTTAGCTATTGGTTTATAGGTTTTACCTTTGTTTTTATAGGATTAAGAGATTATGCTGAACAAATTGGGGGATTCACCTATATATATTGCGCTATCGTATTCCTAGATCGTATCTCAAGGCTCATCAATGCTATCGGAAGAATTCATCTGTTATATTTAAATGAAAAATGGATGTCAAAACATATTCTATTTTTTGGTTAAAATTAAGTTTCCTCAATATATCAAATTCAATTTTACAGTTCGATTATACAAATAAACATAAAGCAACATTTTAAAAGACAAAAACAAATTTCCTTAACTCTTGAAACAAATTAATTTCTTCAGGAACTAAAATTTTCAGATACTGAATGACAGTTTTATTTAAGATATGTAACTTGGATAAAAACCCATGAAGAAAAAAGATTTTCATAAATATCATTTTCTCAGATGTATCATATTTACATACAGTATTACTTATTTGCGGAGCTTCATGTTATTACTGTTATAGGAGCCTCATTCTGACATCTCTTAGCAGGCGATATCTTGACCAGAATCTGCTTATCTACAATCGCCAATGGCAGAAACCTGTTACGAGAAAGTTTACATTAAGAAAAACCTCTATAAAGATTTAAAGGTGATAAAATGGGATAAAGAACTGCAAATAAGCCAAATGATTGAGGTATTAACTTACGAAACTGTTTTTTGTTTCACCTGGTTTTACCTCTCAGACCATATGGGTAAAATGTCAAAATGAGCAGGAAAAAATCTAAACTGATGTATTTCTAATAAAAACAATGTTTTGGTTCTGTAATCAATTGGATAGAAATGTAACGAAAGAAGGATGTTCGTTCATAACATAGAAACATACATCTCTATTAGCTGCACTCAGGAGATCATTTATAGAAACAAAAAACAGTTTTTCATCAGAACAAATCATTACTTTTGCATTAAGGCTTTTTTATATTTTATTCTAGTCTATCATGATGAATGATTGAGGATCCAGTTATCCCTAATCATGTTTAAGATCCTAGTGAGGCACATAGCTGGGCATATAGCCCAGGTTAATTTACTGCAAACATACACTGATATTCCAAGATTACGAGATAGTGAACGTAAAATTAGGAAGTCATAAATACTCAGTTTGTACACTTTTATATCATGATTGCAAGAGTTGGTTTGCTTGTTTGATGTCATGTTTGTTTGTATGTTTGTATTTATTTAGGCCTACTTGTTTGTTTTTGCAGATGACATAACTTCCTGCCTATCCCCAAATGAATTCATCAATTACATGTGAAATGGAAATACATACATGTACCTATTAGAAAATGGAACTTATCTAATATGAATTCAGTTAGTTGGATAAATCTACTTACCTTTTCATATCTTATAACATATAAGAGATAAACTAGATCACAACATTGCTTTTAACCTGATAAACCCCTTCAACTCTAAATGTATCCTAAGACATGACTTGGAATAAAATATTATTACTTCTCAGGTTTCAATGTTGAAACTTTCACATAAACCCTTTTCAATAACTTGATTTCTCTTTTTAATTTAGAGTTTCTAGGAAACGCTACTTACCTCTGGACTTACATACATGATTCACTACATATACGAGGGGTGATTAATAAGTTACGATTTTTATATCTCCATTAATGTATCACACATCTACTAATCAACCATTGAAATTAGAAAGAAAATCATCTATCAACCATTGAAATGAGAAGAAAACCATAGAAATAAGAAAAGATCATCCATCAACCATTGAAATAAGAGAGAAAATCATCAATCAACCATTGAAATTAAAAAGAAAAAAAAAATTCTCGTCCTTTGGCATTATGTAACCCGTTCATGAAACTGCAGACAGATCCAAAACAATTGATTGGTAAAAGTAAATAAATATGGTGGAATATTCTTATGTTCTTTGGTTCAGCTTACTTAATTCTCTAGTTAAATTAAAAAGCCAGGTTTGATAAATTCAGGAATCCATTTTACAAATAAGGTTATTAGGATAGGAAAATATCACCTTACTGGCCGTCATATAGGTTCTTATAGCTGCTTCACCTGACAAATGAGTTGGGAGTGTAATGGAGTATGTTTACTGTTATTGTCTTGTTGCTGTCATCCATAAGGGACAGAAGCTATCATCATAACATTTACCTAAGATAAACTTTAAATGGAGGTTAAAACACTGTGTTTTGTAGACAGATGCCATATAATATCATCTGGACTGTTGCACTTTGGCAAGATGATACTCACTCGTCATTCATGGCGTTTATCCGACATTTTGTACAGTGTATAATGATTTTTGTCAGTTTATGTTCCTCAATTGTCCTAAAAGTATATAATAACTGAGTTGGATCAAAAATCATCAGAGCCAGAGGTAGACTGGGCCAGTTATATACCTCTGGTTGACCAATCAAAATAGAATGACTGAACAATGACTATAACAATTTCAATAGTCCATAGTTTGAACAATGACTATTACAATAACAATTTCAAAACTGAACACTGCATAACCGTTGTTCACATTAGACAGGTTATAATAGTTATATACCTGTTGTCTACAATAATTGATGTAATCCCAAGTTAGAAGAACATGTTTCCATTAGTAGAAACAGTCAAGAAAGTGAGGAAATGCCTATCTTTTACAAATGTAGAAAATATGTTCCATGTCTAAAAGACTTATGGCCCAAGTCAATCAAGTCCGTATACCCATACATCACTCTGATCCAGGCAGGCAAACTAGCCACTTCACCAAGATAAAAACATATAACAAAGTAGATGGCGGAAATTTATTTTCCGAAAAGACCTTTCAAAATACATACTTTACAAGTATTATCCATTTGTAAACTTAATAATCGTAACCTATTATCATGTTATTATTACAATTCAAGACTATTTTGCCAAGATTTCACATTACAGGGACACTGGTAATCACCGTGTGGATATTGAAGTTATGTCAGCAAGGAGTGTAATCTGGCAGTCTATGTTGAAGCCCCTCGATGTGACCACTGAGTCTAGAGAGCTTTAGAGGGTGACACACGTAGCTGGTTAACATGTCACTCCTATGTCTAACCACCATAGCAACACAAACATAAAGTCAAATGCCACCAACAAAGTCAATCCCAATAAAACTGCTATAAAATAATAATTTTATGAAAAAGGAAATCCCTTTTTGGACGTTGTCTATCTGAAGCCAAGTACAGGACATGTTAATATTGTTCCTAGTCTCCTAAAGGAGAAAGTTTCTCTGTAATAGCATCAATTTTGAATTTTCAATATCAACATACATTTTTAAGGCTGTATGATCCTAAGACTAAGAGTATGTTTTATACAGAGAAAAGAACAAAGGTGAATTGTGTAAGACTTTACATTGTATCTATCAGATTAAGACATCACATTTGTTTTTCTAGCTGCATTTTAAGTGTATACAACAGGGGTATATCATGTTCCCAGGTATATCACCTTACCTATCTCTATTAGACAATGGTCTTACAAATTAGCAAAGCTCTTAACAATAAGCTCAGGTGATCGTCCTAATATTCCACAACATGTTGATGAGAGACCATTTGAACATTATGGCTGAACATATATGAAGTTGACCATACCCTGATTGACACCATCCTTCTTCAAAGGACTTCATTTATGCTTAAATGCAGCAAGGGTGGATTGACACTTTAGGTCTGTTAATTCTTTGTACATTTTGTATATCAACATTAATCATTCCAGGTTTCACTCTAACAGTATACACATCTTCAAAGATTTTCCGCACATGGAGGAGGGGCCAACGTATCTCAAATCTCTTTGAACAAAATTTTCCCCATCACTCAAACTCCAGGTTGATGTTGCATTTTAACTTGTTTGTGTGAAGAAACAAGAATTATAAACATACACATATGCTGGATAACATGCCAAATGGACCATTTCTATCAATTCTATCTTATGAAATGCACGCACATGTAGAAGAGGTCTGAGGGTATAACAAGAGGGGCTCACCAAAAGTAAACCCAATTTTCGATTCAATTGGACCAATCTTCTTCGCAATTGTGGTACCTACATGATCACAAACATGTCTAATGCAGTTTACTATTTTCTGATTTTGTAGTTTGTTTGCAATTTTGTATGTAAGTGGTATACTTGTAACTCCATTGCCATCAACTTAAAGCATGTCATCTCTCCAAGTGAAGTCCCCTCTTCGCATGCTGTCTCCTCTTTAAGTTCATCCTCAAGGTCATTTCCTTTGTTATGATATGGTGGGAGAAGGGGGGGGATGGCAGGTGAGTCACTCATACACCTTCGATGGCTTCTACTGGTTTTCTCCAAGTTATATTTTCTTGGATAGTTCCTCCCAAGTGCTACTCAGGTATGATAGGACTGATTCTAGAGTCTCTTGTTATCGGGATATGGAGATAAAAACTCAGATATGTTGGTATAAGTGCCTCTCCTGGTATAGGCTGACATATGTCTGTTTTTTAACATACCATCCTAGCTTTATTAGTTTGCTATCTTTTAGACTTATATCCTCCTAAAATCGTCTAAATTCCATGGTTGCTATATGTAAAATTCACACTCTCCTATTATTTAAGGATTGTCCAATATTTAGTTTTTGGCATCCTATTGAAATTTGGTACATATAAATACTGTATAATAAATCATTGGTCTATCCTGGATCCAAACACTTGTAACTCAATTTTAGTTTGGTCTATGGTGTTACATGATCACATCAAATAAACTAGCTTCAGTTTTAATTCATAATCTTTGAAAAGCAAATAAAGATTCCTATAAAATTTAATTGACCATAATAACTTTTAATTAATAATACAGCAGAAGTTGAAATAACGCTTCAATGTCTTCACTAGAAAATTTTGATATTGTTGCTATAGAAGCTGTTACTGTAACAACTACTGTCAGCATGGTAACATTCATTTGTAACTTACCCCGCAGCAGCAGGTCCGCTTTGTGGAGCAGCAATTACGGCAACCAGGAGCACTGGAAATAAAATACAAAAAACATTAAATCTACTGTATAATACAGATGACATCACAACCATGTGATTTATATGTTTCCTTGCTCCAGTTGTTGCTTCGTATTCATGAATGCAGCTAAAATATACAATCTTCCTAACAGTAAATTTGAATTTTGGTTGCCTCTTAAATCCATGTTCTGTATGCAATATCTATAATATCTAAAATATATGTAGTTGATACATACAATTTGTTGTTATTGATGGTTATTGATAGAAATGACGCACAATTTTCCTTTGTTTGTGCAGGCACGTAGAATACAATGCAATGTCACCCAAAGCAAGGGAAGACTGAGTCATGGAATTCTGAGGATGGCACATGATTAATGATCTATCTACGTATAATGAAATGCAATGTACTTATAATCTTAGAGATGAAAATACTAATCAGAATGACACTCTGGACATTTCAAGAAATGAGGATGAACAGATAACAAAAAATCACAAAAACCAACTAAACAATATGTATAAAGAATTAGATATAGGCTTATCATACATTCAAAATACAGGAACAAGGAGGCATATTTTCCAACAGGTTGATTAGAATTTGTAAATAACATTTTGAATGAATCTGAAGTGAACAGTTGGTTAATTTGAGTTTATGTTTGTTTTCTAGTATTGCCACATGTGCTTTATAATTCAGCACATATTGTGGAATTATTTCTATCAAACGGAGTGTACCATCTGAAAGGTTCATAATAAAGTGTCAGTCTGATGATGTTTACTCGTGAATGTCCCTCCAATAGATCTACCAAGATGTATGGCTCTATATTACGATGGAATAGCATTTTGCGTGACATCTCGCGGCCTCGATAAGAATTTGTCACATTCTTTTATAATCCTATTCAAAAGTTGATATTATAAAAGCATAACATTGCATGGCAGCAAAAAAAATTTGAAAAATAAAAAATTAACATGAATTCAACTGATTTGTTTAGTTAAGTATGACACATCTAGAAAAATAAACAAACCAATAGTAATTATACTCAATACATTAATACAACATTCAGCAGTTACAATCTTATTACAGTAACCTATATCTGTGTTAATTCATTGATCATATGTCATATTAAATGCACTACATGCCAGGTAGGGTTTTTTACCTCTCATGAGACAAACCAACTGCGCAAAAGTAAATTAATTTGCCTGTTAATTCTGCGATTTAAACGGGTGACACTTAGACAAAGAAACTGTATCAATAGAACTGGGAGTCGAGAAAGGGACCTCTGAGAAGCTGTTTGAAGCAAAAGGTAAAGCATGTGCTCATATTGGCAAAGTTCTATGGATTGAATATGATCCTAAGGGACTTGCAATATACTCATAGCCCATTTCAATTATCAACTCTGACCCAGAGGTCACTTATACATATAACTATACATACTTATACATACTATGAGTACAACAAGGTAATAAGGCATTTATTTACATTTGGAAATTTCCGTTTCAGTAAAAACTCATATACCATTGACATATTTTCTTGATGGAATAATTGGAGCAATATTTCAGAAAGAAATATAAAATCAGTACTTGAGATACCTCATATCTGATAATACATAACACAAATGTCCTTTCACCTGCCAAGTTTAGAAGTCATCATAGTCCCTTGTCTCACAATAAGTGACATTATATATGAGGGTTTCGCTGTTGTTAATAAGACATACGTTAACAAGAGATATTCACAAAAAAAGTTGACACATGTACCATATATATCCCATAATGAATGATAAGAATCTATACAGATGACAGCCGGCTAATGAAGTTTTTTTCCCCAACTCATTGAAGTATAGTATACTCGTAAATATTAAACCAATTATTTGCGATTTAAAAGGCTGTGCTATTGAGCATTTTAGAATTTTTATCCTTTTTTAATATTTTTTAGCCTGCAGATGTATGTGACCTAAATTCTTACAAAAATGTTGATTTTCAAAGAAATGCTTTATATTAAGCAAAGAAAGAATCGTGACATCATCTCTGGTATATTCTTTTTACTAGATTATTGAAAAATTACCAACAAATTGAGATGCATTTGTTGTAAAAAGTGATCAACAAAAGCCTCTCTCTGAATATTTATTGTTACAAAAAGTAGACGCGGACAGATCGTATTCCCAGCATTCATTGCTATAAAACATGACCCCTTGTGCGGACAATATGGCGATTATTATAAAAGATTAATAATTTATCGACTGATTAAGAAAAATAGCTCTGGCAGGTTTTCAGGCTCCAATAATAATTATTTTTTATTGAATTTTTTAACAACTGAGACTTACAAAAAATCAGTATGAGAGCGTAACGATCAATGCTCACTAAATTCCTTTCTGAAATATTCTTACAGTGAAGACTCTCTTGAGAAAAAATTGCATGGCATGGTGTAAGAAGCAGGAACTACTGTTTTAACTCGCATATCTTAATTCCATTTTTTAATCTCATCGCTTGTTGATTTTTGCCTGGATATATCTAAAACCACCCAGTATAATTAACGACCTAGCAGGGAAAGTGTTGAAATTGATTGCTTGTGTTGAAAATGATTCACTGAACATTTGTTACTTGCATTTACTTCCTACTTTCTACCTGTACATTAAGCCAAAAAATCACATTTTTTCTAACAGTAGTTAAAATGCAATCAATTTGTATAATGATTCCAAATCCATCCATCATGATGAAAAATAGATACTTACCATCATTAACAGTGGCTTAAATAGTCTATTATACCTGAGTTGAGGAAATTAAAAAGAATAGTTTAAAATAAACAGATTACAGCTCTGAATAAACATAGTAAAAAATGAGGAAGTTGAGAAGAACCAAGATTAAGAAAGTGAGACCCAGGCCCCTTTCTCTGGTATCTTGAAGGAAGGTGTATAACACAGCGCTCAAGGCACGAATCCATTTAAAGGCACAGTTGACTGAACAAATGGATGCAAGTACTAATGACAAAACTAACCCTGGTTTTATTTTACTGGCTCCAATGTGGTTTATGAAATGTGTTCATTACCATATTTGTTCCAAGTGAAATCAACCTGAAGTTTTTTTGTATCTGGTATAAGGTCAAATCTTAACTGATGATATGTTTTAAGGTTTCAATGCTCAACTGGTAAAAAGGAGAAGACCCTAGAAAATAACTTATTTTGAACTGTTTACACGATTTCATTATTTTTGAATTTGTTTTCTTACAATGTATTTATTTGTTGTTACTTGTAAGAGGGGGTGAAAGAGGTAAATAGCACATAATTATATATGTACTCTTCAATCCTTTTTGCATACATTTTATAATTTAAGTGTCGCATGAGAAAAAAGCTTGTCTCAGCTTGATATATTTCAGAAACAGTTTACAGTTTGATTAAATGTCTGACTTCGTTTGATACAATAATATTTTATATTCAATAATAACTCACTCCTTTGTAACAAAAAATCAAGTTTCAAAGGTGTTGAACATCAAAGCGGTTTATTCAATAGCAAAACGGAATAGGTATTGAGATGAGAACTAAAGCCAAGGGAGAAACACGAAATTTCTTCCCTCCACGAACAACATTCACTCTCCAAACCACTTAAGAAAAATAATTACATCTTATTTGATCATAAGATATATCTTAAGTAAATCTTTATCTGAATTGATCCAAATTTTATTACATTTTTATATTTCTTTGAGATTAATTGTCGGGAAGCACAATAAAATATTCCTGTTCGTCAGCACACCATACAACATACCATATGGGGGTGTAAAATGAGTTTCTACAATTCTATTGACTATAAAGATACTGTTATTGACAAGACCATAGAATTAAGATCTCAAATGGCTTGAGCTCAACTCAAGTACAAAATCATAAAAATAAATATATTAATGTTATGGGAAAGCACTGTGACCCTAAGAACTAAAGGCTAATACAGTGGGATGAATCAATTTTATAAACATTATTAAACAAGAACATTGAGTTCATATTTTCTGTTCAATCATGACCAACATGCAGATTGTGAATGAAAGACAGTTATTCTTATTCCTAATTCAGCTTTTCTATGAAAGTAACTATATTTAATGACTTGATTCAATTACTATCAAGTCTGAAAGTCTATTGTGTTTTACATGCTTGGTGATCGAGCCACTGCACAAAGTTGCTAGTAGGCACGCCATGTCCATTTGGACACAAAAGATACCTTAAATAGACAGTTGGAGACTATAATTGACACTTTGTCCTCTCATTTGTACTCTATTAGACGCAGTGATCCCAGCTGATAGAAGATCATACATGCATGTATAAACTTGGATTTGAGACCTCTAAAGAATTAGAAATTGAACATAGAAAACAAATTATTCAAAATCCAGAGTATACAGTATTATACTTGATATTCAAATTCTTATTTTTATCCTAGAATGTGCAATCAATAATAATCTGAGACAGCATTCAATCTAAATAAAAAATCATAAAAAAACACATTTATATCACATTTGAATGATTTTCCAAGCTGTTTCCAGTCCCATATATCACTATTTTCAATTTCTATACCCTCATTGCAACTCCCATAATATCAATTTCATTAGCAAGCACCGTGATGATTGTATTTTCCTAGTAGAACATAATGGTGATGTGATCTACTATATTCAATGTGATAAGTGTCAATGAAAGATCTCAGCCAGAATACGGATCAATACAGGAACTGATTGATTTAACGTTGATGAAATCTTTAGGAAATACTACACTATTTTATATACATGTACAATTATTTGATCGCAGAGGATTTATGACCAGAGCTGATTTCTAAGGCATCAGATGTTTTACGATATTTTACAATTAATTTTCTGACAATTTAAATCTCTTGTTATTTCTTAACCAGTATTATTATCTTACATGGTCAGATATATAAAAACTGCATGTTGCAAGAACACATGACTCAAATATGAAACTACCAGTATTATCAAACATACATGGAACCAACATCTATTTAATCATTACTTATTGTGAAATGCCTACATCTA